TTTCCAAAAGACCGTCTTGACACCACCAGCCTTGAAGCTCTAGGCTTCGATTATACCTCCACGGACTGGTTTCATAGGCTCTAGGGTTGAAACAAACTCATGTGGAGCCATTGATCCGGGCAAAAAGTTGGAGCAGTGCTACTTCGCCTCTTCGTCTTGCTTGAACCGAGTCGATGCAGACCAGGTGCACGAAAGGTTTTCGAGAGCGCACGTGACTAACTCTAAGTTTTCTATGGAATGAAGTGCACGAAGGCTCATGAGGTTCTGTATGTGTGAAACAGCTCAGTGGGTTTGCAAGGTTTCGGGCTTGTGCAAAGTTTTGCAGTGCTTGGTGACGAGTGATTTTCTGCGAATGCCATTAGGGGATTCCGGTATCTCCTGTATGAGGTTCGCAACTCATGGTGTAAAAGCTCCAGAGTTGGTACTGCTGTGAAAATTCAGCGCTTGAGGGCTTTCCCTGCTTTGTATATCATGGGGGGCCCACAGCTGCACCCTTCCCCTTGTAGCTACTACTTCCTTCGTTGTCGAAAATGTCCAGGCAGATATTGTTGGTTGATTAGGACTCTGTGTAAGTGCCGATTTGACACCTTTTATGGCTTCGTTCTGCAGGATGTAGGAATGAGTGCATGCGGCATTCGTGCCTTCCTGGCATGCGCGGCATTGTGGTGATCTGGCGGCTTATATCGGGGTATCGAGTATGCAAATGTTTCGCCGGCAGCTGCGTCTCCGACCGAGCTTATTACAGGAGTCTCACTCTCAATGACAAAGACTGGTGTGAGCCCTTTGTAGAAGCAGGTATACTGCACTTCTGAAATCCCAAGCGTACTTAACTCCTTCCACAAAGAGCAAGCCAACAATAAGACTGTGTTCAGCGCTGATCAGGAGTTTCTGGCGGAGCCGCAGATTCTGGAGGACTTTGACTACTGCAACTTGAGAAACAGGGCAGATAGGGTTTTGGTTTAGATGGGTTTAGGCAGTCATCTACACATCATGGATTGGATTCGCAGTGTGTTATTTGGGGATGTGTCACAGCCTAAAGCCACAACCCCGAACCCCTGAGACCCTAGCAAGAAAGAGCCCAAAGACCCTAAGACCCGGACTCAAGGCAAGCCAAATATCTCGGCTTTCTGCCTTGTTGCGAGTGCTCACGCTCTGATGCCTGAACGCCTGAACCACCTCAGTTTTCGTCTAAAGCTTGCAATGAGATACAGACAACCCAAGTTTCAGAACAAAGCTCTGGAGCCCTACAATACTAAGGCCCTTCAACCCTAAAGCCCGAAAGTCTAAACCCTTCCACACCTGAACCCAACCCAGGCAACACCGAATCGGAGACATCGCGTCAGCAGCAGAAGACCCTCGAGTTCAAGGTCGGGGGAGGGGGGGGGGAGGGGGCCCAGAATTTTTTGGGTGGACTAGGACTTCGGGATTGTCGGGGTATCTGGGGGGTTTTTTTCGGGGGGAAATCTTGGGGTTTCGGATGCGAAGCTTCTCGGTGTTCATAATAAGGCTTAGGAATGGAAGAGGTGGGCTTTGGGTTTAAGACTTGAAGAAGGTCTTAGGCCGTTTTGGCTTTAGGATTTTGGAGGTTTACAGTAGCGAAAAGAAGTCTTAAGGTATTAAGGATTGTCAGGATTTATTTTGTGGCTTTTAGAGTTTAGGGCTTTAGGCTGAGGGGGGTTTACGAGTTTTGGATTTTACGGGGTTTTGGATATCTTAGGCTTTGAGGGTTGGGGGTTCTAGGATGGAGGGGTTGGGATTGCAGGGGGGATGGAAGTAGGCTTCACAGAAGCCTAGGTGTCTCCCCAGCAAGTGTCCCTTTTGGGAGAGATCCGTCTTAGAACTTAGTAAAAACCCGAAACCCGAAACCCAAAAACCCTAAAGCCTAAACCCTAAATACTTGGGCATAGATCCTCAGCCATGCGAGCGGGAAAAAACCCTGAGTACTTTCTGGGACCCCCGCAGTTATCTGACTGCCCCATAAAAGTCCCTACTGCGCCAACCTTAAGGAAAAACACAAAGACTCGGCCCACATAGGGCCTTAATATGAAGAAGAAGAAGAATGCGCACTTTTCCGTAGGGTTCATCTAGACATTTACACGACGATAGTGTATGCGGGGCCTTGATTCTTCATGAGAATTAGAATGCATCCTTGTCCCTAGGGTTCTACCTGAAATTCTCCGGGCCGCTGCAATACACCACCAAGTACGCCCAGAGCTTCCCAAGCCCGAAAAAATCCCCGAAGCCGCCATATCCGTAATTACCCGGGTTCAATTCTTTTTGAAGCAAGAACAACAGATGCTGAGGTGGATCCAAACGGAAGCTGTCGTTTTTCTGGCTTTGCCATGTGGACGAAGGTGGTGGTTGACGACACAGATCCTTGGCCTCAGGATTTCGGGAGCTTCTGGGCTTCTGGGTGGACGTCTCAGGCTCTTGATGCGACACTCAGGCGGCCGCCCCCTCTAAATCTACAAACCTGAGTGCCAAGACCTCGAAGAAAGCATCGCAAAAGAAGGGACATCGCCAGGCATGTACATAATGAAACCAACTCTACATAGTCCAAGCAGGCTTTAGAAATCTTACGATGTCTTCATCAACCCTGTACCAGAAATCTGGAAAAGCGCCATGCCCCAGCCATAGACGCCGCACGCGGCCAAACCGCGCCTTAGGCCTGGCAGTCCACTCTCCGTAGCCTTCCAGGAGTGCTCAAAGTGCTCCAGGCTCCTGGCACACAGCGGACACAGCGTCCGTGCCCCAAAACGAGCACAGCGGCACCGGGGCAGAAGCAGGATTTCGGGAGGTGGAAGCGGGAAGGACAAGAAACTGCGTACCCTGCAACAGCACCGACTGCCGGACGCGCCTGCCGGCGTTTCCACTTTTTGGGCATGTTTGTGCATCTGCCCAAAGGATGTTATCGAAGTCCGTGGGCAGCCAGATAGCCACTGGGCCTACGTGGTCTCCCTCCTTACGCCACAGCCCTGCGCCTTGACAGTTTTTAGAACTTTGGGGTTTAGGGGGTTGACCTAGGGCCGAAGGCCGGTAGGGGTTATCAGGGTTCTTCTAGGGGGTTTAGGACTTGTGGGGTTTTGTTGAAGGATTTTGCGGATCTGCAGGGTGTAGGGTTTCAAAGGGGTCGATAGGAGATACTGCTACGGACGCCTTATTATGTTTTAGAGCCTGTAGGATTGGGTTGGCATGTCGGCCATCACAGTTTAGGACTGAGGGCTGGACTGAGAGTTGGGGTTTCCATTTAGGTTTCATTACCATAGGCTTGGGGCTCACCTGTGCTACCGTAGGGTACATTCTGAGTGTCCTGCTACATATGCTCGACGTCCATCCGGAGAAGTGCTCGGACCCTACACCCTGAACCCCTACTTAAACACCTCCTTGGATGAACAATGTCTGGGTCAACGATTCTCTTCCGGGCTGTCGAGGGGCCGGCGTTAGATTTGGTTTCAAAACTCGGGAAATGATTCATGACAGCATTCCTTTGCACTGACCATATAGCTTTCGCGGAGGGTTTGACTTGAAGTCGATGCGACTATGGTTTGGTTACTGGTCTTTACTGCATTTGCATCGCGCTTCTCTCTTCGAGGTTCGTTGCCTAGAGATGGGAACATTGCCACTGAGGCAGCATTGAGGACCCCAAAATCGTTCTGAACACCGGCATCGACTACGCGGCATCACCTGTCAGATACAACTTTCATGCAGAAGTCTTCTGAATGCTCGGGTCTCAAGTAGCTGAGGATCTCACTCCGCATGCATCTGCTTCGGCCGCGTTGGTGTTTCATGCATACTCTAGCAAGCCATGCTCTCCAGCTTCTCACAGAAACATTGTGTTCTTTCTTGGTTGGTCACTTTTCAGAGCATGCTGGGTTTGCATTCTCGGCAAGGACCCCAAAGAATCGAGCTGCTTTCAAGCCATGGACTCTTGTCACGTTTCTTCACACCCAGACCTTGCCCACTCCTGCTCAGCTGCAAGCGGGAGCATGAATCCTCTTGTGAAAACCCGCTGTATGCCTAGCTGGCAGAACATTTGTCACTACCTTAAGCAAAGGGTGTCTATATGAGCAATTGTGCGTATCAGTGCGTCTTTGTCAGCACTGTGTCTGTGTGTACATGTAAACGTAGATCTCAGGGCCCAACGCAGGTATTCATGACTGAGTTGTAGTGATATGTGTTCCCGGACATTGACAGCCTCAACCGAGCCGCCTAGAACATTAAATGTCGCTGCCCTATGGTATATTTAAGATCCCATTTCTGCATGCTGAAGCCGCAACCGTTAGCCCAAAGATCTGGGCCTGAAACCGTGGAAGTCCTGGGTGTAGAGCCGTCTGGGCTCATTGGAGTTTTTATACGCGAGAGAGAGAAAGAAATGAAGGCAAAGCATCCGGGCCTCTAGTTGAAATTCATGGCGATGGGAAAACATCTACTAGGCTTCAGAGGCATTTTAAGCTTGAGGAGGTTGGTCTGCTTTTGATACTTGAAGGTGGCTTGTTGATAAGGGCGGTTTTAGGGAACCCCCTTCTAGAGCGAGGTTCATGCTGAAACTGCTTGGTACGATCATAGACAAAGCAGGTCGTCGCGCCGGTCAAGCCATCCACTGCATTGCGGCGCTAGAACCTTTCAACCGCATCTGCTCCGGATGTTGGCTCGGACAGAACGCTGGAGCCCCACATCCCACCTTAAATCCTGAATCTGTACGGAAGCAGAACGAAATGCAGCTCCACTCCACGACAATTTGAAAGAGCCCTTAGTCGATGAACCCGTTTTGAAGGAGTTCGAGGACATACTGGCGATGATAATTCAGGTCAAGATACCCCCAAACCCATAATCAACTCTGCACCATGACCCCAACTACAGACGATAAAGGCCCTTTACAGGGTACCTTGAGAGAATTGTGGTCGTTACGAAGCATTCATGGTGACCTTGCAGTTCTTGCAAGTCCTCGCCTGGCCCCTACACTTGGAACCTTGGCCTTGAATGAATCTGCAAACCTGCAGGCAGATATCAACTACGCGTACCGGCAGCTCTCACGTGCACTGCATCCGGACAAGAATCCGGACATCGAAGAGGCCAGCGGTAGAGAGCCCTCCAAGAATGGATTCTTCAAGGGACTTTAGAAGTGTTAGGGGGTGCTTGTGATTTTTTAGTAGTAGTAGTAGTAGTAGTAGTAGTTGTTGTTGTTGTAGCTGTAGTTGTAGTAGTAGTAGTAGTAGTAGTAGCAGTAGCAGTAGTAGTAGTAGTAGTAGTAGTAGTACCAGCAGCAGCAACAGCAGCCGGAGTAGTAGTAGTAGTAGTAGTAGTAGCAGCAGCAGCAGCAGTAGTAGAGGTCCCCGAAATTAGAAAAACGGTTTAGAAATGTTAAGAATCATGGGATTGATGGGCAATAGCATTTTGTTGTCCAGGGTGTAAAGTCTTGAGCGGAGCACTCGTTAGGAGCTCAAAACTCGGCTGGCTTCAGGTTCAGGGCCCTTGGATTCGGGTTTTAAGGTACGGGCGAGCTCCCATCAAGCCTGTGTAAAGGGTCAATGTTAAGCCCTTGAGGTGCTACTCTTTTGCCTTTGGGGTTTGGGAACGTTGCGGGAGACGCTTCTATATCTGTGTCTAGACAGCATGCACGGTGCAAAAGCTATGTGGCTGAGCAATTCGTGCTCTCATGAATGACCCGGGCATTAATGATCGAATCCTTATTGTGTCCCTGTTCAAACGATGGGACTTACGAAGCAGAAGTTTAGATTATCCATTATGTGCGGGTGGCTAAAGAATCCTTAATGGCGCACTTGCCAGACTCAAGCCCGAAACGCATTTCAGATTGGCCGACATCCTGCTTGTACTAACATGCACAAGACTATTGCTAACAACAATGCGAATGTGAAAACAAAGCTCGAATGATAACAGTACTAATTTACTAATAGACTGAAAGCTCCAATTCGAAAGTCATGCGTGACCGAGGCCCACGATGCCTTCAAGCGGCTCACCGATGCCTCGGCTGAGCTCAAAGAAGGCACGTGAGGGACCCTGAATCAAAGCAGAAAAGGGTGTTTAGGGTTCAGGAGTCCAGACAGAAAACAAATCACAGTGACAACATCAGTAACGGACCGTCGTTCTACCTCGAATGTCGATGGTAATGCAGTCATCACAGCACCCTGCCACAAGGAAGCGTGGTCAGCCGTAAGACCGGTGCCACAGGGCACACTGCTGTCATCCTCACCGTCATCTTCTTCATCATAATTCACCATACTTCCCATGTCCTGAATTAGCCGCTACGGGACCAAAACCGCGACCCCGCTGAACAGCTTGAATCTTCCAATCGAACGCGCAACACGGACTTCTTGCCCTAGATGGGAACTCAAACTTAGACTCTGGCTTCAAAAGACTTCGCATCTGCTACCCGCAATGGGGCCTTGCAAACGAACCAAAAAGTCCCAGAAACCTGAAACCCTACATTCCAGCTTAAAGGAATCTGGAACCCTAGTCAACACGCCATGGCCTTGGCTGCACAGGCTTGGAGGAGCAGAGAAACCTTTTGAGAGCAGCTTGTCCTGACTGCTGGGGATCTGGTTGCTTCAGGTACCGAAAACACTGCAGCCTACATACTTATGTGACTTATGTGGTCTGTCGAGGTTCTTAGTGTGATTATGCCATAATATACCCCCATTCCCCGTTTGAATCGTCGTTTGAGTTGTAGTTCACCGGGTTCCCCTTATGGGCCGTTGAACCAAGCTTTAACTTCGTAAGGGGCGCGTTCAGGTTCTTGGGGATCTCCAGAATAAGGTCTTACCGAGACTTGCCGACGAGACTATACACTAGGTCGTTGCAGTCTTGTGTTTAGATGTTGCTTGTTGATTTTTGTTCGAAGACTCATCGGGAACAGTTTTTGCTCAGGTTGTGAGAGGAGTAGAGAATAATAAAGGTCCCTGATGTTTTGAATCTCCGAAGTGCGTGCACAACAATCACTCAGGGCTTGTAAATCCTATGCCTTGTGTCTAGCGGTGCGCCCTTATGTGATCGCAACGCGTGGGGTCCGATCCTTATTCCAGAAGAACTTGAACTGTGCACTGCATTCTGGGGCCCCAACCGAAGTGCAAGCTTACGAATCTCAGGGTTTAGGTTCGGAGTTTAGGTGGTCCCACGTCGTAGTATCTGCGGCTTCACCTCGCAGTCATGATTTGTCGCCTCCTGTACATGGACCGGTTAGTATGGGCCAGTTAGAGCGGAACCCCTTAAGCCTTGAACAAGCCTAAATTAAAAACCCTTGTAAACCGTAGCCCAGGCCATCTGCCTCACCATGGGCACGGCAGTGACTCCCGAAATGTTGGAGCGGCCGCAGGAGGCTCTCTTTGCAGAGGCCATGGGATGGAGCGTTGTTGGGATTTTTGTGGTTTAGGCGTCTTGTGGGTTTAGGGTTTAAGGCGAGAAGGAATATCGGAACGAAGACGAATGTAGGGTTGCATATAATAAAAACCTTCGGGTTGAGTCTGTACGGGATTAGAAATGGTTCAGGGCTCCGAGGTGTGGTTTCGGGAGCCTTGGCCAGCATTCCAAGCCTTTCATGAAAAAAGCCTTGCATCACCTGGGGCTCGCTAGAAGCCCCGCGATGGATCTGTGTGGTGGTGATCGATGCAAGCTCTGTTGTGCTCTCCGTGGTGAGCACCAAATTCGATTCAACGCCAAAGATGTTAGAGTCTGCTAGAGGAATATAGAGGAATCTAACGACACTACCCGACGCCCTCAAGCCCTCAACCCCCGCACCTTAAACTCTCACACCCTAACGGCATCGCGCTAGCCCGAATTCCTACAGAGTCATTAGGACGCCGCCCGCAGCGCTACACTGTTTTTCCGTCTTCCTCATACGTAGGCGGCATTGTATATTCACCCTTTGCTGCTTGCGAGGGTTCTCTGGCTTGGGGTTTGGGTTTCGGGTTGGCTTCAAGGAAGGCTCGGACGAAGAATCTTACTGCGATGCCTCTCCAAGCCCAAGCCGTGAACATGGGTCAGGCCTTTCGCAGCGGGTTGGTTTTTGCTGTAGCCTTCTCGGCAAGACATGGCATGGACTCTACCGTGCATGTCTTCCGAAGTTCAAGCTCACCTACGCTTGAGATACCACACGGTGCCGCTTTGCTCGTGCTCTTGACCAGCTTGGTTTTTGCAGGGTGCAGGGAGCGTTGGGGCTAGGATCATGTTCCTATACGTTCCTGGTCTTGGCGAGTCTGAAGTAGTGTAGATTATTTTGCAGGGCAACAGACTGGGTCCTTGACTGGATTGGGGTTTTGAGTTTAGGTTATGGCTGGACTTCGACGACTTCGAGTTGGATGCACATAGGTTTGGTCATACTGCAGGGCAGCACGTAGGCTGCTTTGTCGATAGATTGCCTGACCACGGGCAGCCTCCTCAGCTCTGGCAGGCAACCCGGATGCTGCATGCGGTGTTAGCGTTGACCGGCGAGGGAGAGGCAGGTTTGTACTGGGGCTTATCGCCTGAGCCGTGAGCTCTCTGTTGAACTGCACGCTTTCTTCCGTGATAACCAGAGAAGGGGTGCAGGAACACTTCACTCGCTGCCCGAACCTTCAACCCTGGTAGACCCTAACACTCCGAATGAACCTTTTACGTGGTGTACTGGGGCTGTAGTCCGGACCTGTCCGCCCATGTCCAGAACAAGCATCCATAAATCTTGGACTCTAGACCTCAAAGCTGTTAGGATTTAGGGTTTGCTGTCAAGCTGCCTTTTGAAGAGCGAGCTTCCGGCAGTAGCAGAATATGTTCTACCAACGGCCCTTGAGAACACAAATATATTAAAAGGCCCGCACCTCAGATCCTAGAGGATAGATCTCCCGGTTCAGGTTCCCGGGCCGGCCTTGACGCGTTCCCTCGCGGTGGGGAGCCCATGGTAAGCTTGGGAGTTTGGGGGTCTTGCTGCCTGTTTTGAGGAGTCTAAAGAACAGACCGTGGGATGTCAGGCATATGTTCTACCAGTATTTTGCGATGTCTCTTGAGTATGGGTTGTGTGAGAGTCCCGATTATTCGGGCCTTCCATGTCTGCGCATCTTGGGATGTTGGGGGCTGCCTGTCGTCGAGTGCTGCTTTCACTTGCGGGGCCTTGGAGTTGAGTGTTCGTACATCGGCTTTCGTTCATTCCTTGTACCTGGCCCTGTTAGATGGTGATGCCGCGCCGTTCTGCTCAATCTCTGAACCGGACTGAGCTTGAAAAGGTTCGGGATTCAAGGTTCTCATCCTCAACGCGTCATGCCTCAGGCCCTTCAGAGAAGGGCGCCCCTACTCTGCGAAATTCAGCAAATGAGAGACTCCAGGTCTTCTGTTGCACGTGAAGTGACAGGGTTTTCGAAGGCTTAGGCAGCACCCCTCCCGACTTCTGGCTCTTGAGGGCCCATAGAACCGAAACAGGTAGTAGACGATTCTCAACAAGCGTGTAAGAATTTGCACTTTCCAACAATAGCAAAGGCCTGAATGACCTGGTTCAAGTGTCCGTCAGGACGTTTCCATGTCTGAGAAGGAGGGGGTTCTTTAGGACAACTACTCCACGGAGTCCCCCGAAACCTTGGTCGAATACCGAAGCTTAAATACATAATTGCTCCCAGCAGACCCCACCGGTCTGATCAAGATTCTGCCTCAAAGCAGCGGTGTAGGGCTGTGGGTATTCGTGCCTCGCTGTTCCACAATTCTGTCTGCTTCTACTGATCACAAAGATGGCGATGTCGCTTTAGTCTAGAGCTGATGCTGTCTGCTCTGTAGACTGGACTTGGTGTCCCGGGCCCTGGACTAAGTCCTTCACAGCCTCGACGACGTGGACGAATAGCAGACCGCAGGCGGACACAGCTTTCTGAAGCAGCATGAGGGAGGGTCTGAAACAAGATAAGACATAGCAAGACAGTACAAGACACGTCAACAGTTTCCTAGTTTGGTCCGGGCTGAGATGACGAGCATCATTATCCCATCGAGCGTTCCTAAACTGCTCGGCACTTCGCAGTTGCTTACAGCATCATTCCATGAGCATGATGGTTAGCATCGAGCTCCAAACTGCGATTATGCCAACGGCCGTCCTATAGGTACTACAGCGCATGAACACAAGGGCCCCAGACAGAGGAACCACAAAGGATTTGGGCATCCAAAACGGGGACCTTCATGATTAGAATGGGGTTTTACAGTACAGTAGTTGTTCTATGCTCCGCTCACCCATTCAATCATGCGGGGCACAAAGAATCAGCTAGAAATGCTCTCGATGTACTTCCTGAACACAACGAAGACAAAACTACAATACCTCCGAATATCATACTCCACAAAACTCGTTCCCAAACCATCCTAAGCCACACAACATACATACATACATACATACATACATACATACATACATACATATATATACTGGTATTATATGCTCACACACTATTGTTACCCCCAATTACTGTGTTCAACTTCGTCAAGGCTCCAAGTCCCAAGCGAGAGGTCCTTCTGGCCGAGTGGTTCGACATGAACCGGCTCTTAGACTTGTTCGGCACTCCCCCACTGCGCCAGAGCCCCGGAGGATTTTTTCTTGGCCTTCTTTATGCGGAGTATTACACTTGTTTGTAGGGTTTTGTGGGTTAGGGGTTGGACCGGTGGGTTTAGAGTTGCCATGAATCGATGAATCGCGCAACAACGCTTTGCAACCGGCGTTCGGGGTAGATCGGGCAAGGCGGGTGGTTCGAGGGGGTAGGGCACCCTCAGAAAGCTTAAACGTTACTCGGGAGACTGGGGGGATCACTAGGTCACATGCCCCCGTTCGTAGTTGCCAAGTCTCTAACCCCAAAAACCGGAAGGGAAGGACCAACAGCCCAAAACCCTCAGACGAAACAGGAACCTTCTCAGTTCGGACGAACGAACTCGCTGTGGTGCGACTTGGGCAGCTGAGCCTTTCACTCTAAACACCAGTGTCTCGCTGTAGTAGAGCCTTATGAGATCATGAAGCCTTCACCACAGTACTCTCATAAAGTCCGCCATTTTCCTGAAACTCCGCTACACCCTACATAAACTCCGAAACTCAAAACATCGAAAACCTAAGCCCTTAAACCCTCAACCCCCGAAGCGGAAAGCCAAAACTCCCACATCCACATTGCTTCAGGGACGGCCTACGACTGCGCTCCGAAACGTTACCGGGCGTTTGGGTGCTTAGATGTCCTCGGAGCTCTGGGTGTTCTTTTATGCGGGTTCCTTTTAAGGATCCTTTTGCAGTGCTATGAAAGGGATCTATTGTGTAAGTAGCGTTTCAGGGTTGGGAGTTTGGGACTTTGGGATGGATTGGAGCTATGGGGTTTAGGAGCTCATCACGGCTAGCAGGTTTAAGGATTTGGAACTGAATTCGGGTCATGGAGCTTGGGTTGAGGGTTTTGGAGTTGGGTCCTGGGTTTCCCGGGAGTTTGGTGATTTAGGTGCTATATGACATACAGAGAGCCCGTGCAGCATCAACCTCCAACTGCTGAGCTCCCTTGGGTTTCCATCGCACCAGTATGCTACACTTCACGACGGTCCCTCGGCTTCTGGTTTGTAACTATTGAGGCCTCTAGTTCTGAGGGCTTTGCCTGGGGTAACCAGGTTTTTTTTTATGAAACCCTGGCTAAGATGGACCTTACCGAAAAAGCTTTGCCTCTCAGAACTGCTCCTAGTTGTGGTTGGCGTGAGTTTCCATAACTCGTTATAGACGATACTGGTTCTTGGGCCCCTGCGTTTAGCATGTTGTTGTTGCGAAAAGATATCTTGGGACGGCATTGCCTAGACCCGTCTTGGGAGTGCTGAAATTTCCGGTCGCTTAGCAGACTGGTGTAAAGTCTGTATTGGGAAATCATACTTCAGTGACCCATAACCTGCGGAACAGCTAGCCAACCCGAAGTTTCATTGAGAGGTTGACACTGAGAGGGATACAGAAAGGCGGCAATGTGTAGAGGCTGGCCAGGCAGAACCCTGTCTGTTGAAGCTAGCAAACCTTTATCGCATGTCTTTGTTAGAGGAGTCTCGTGACAAGATATCCTTGTGCATGAGCCATAGCTTCTCGTCAGAAGTTCGAGGATCTTTATTACGGGCACTCCAGGTTGGGGAATCCTGTTGCGGTTTCATGGTATCCAGGGCCTATGATCGCCTCAGTTAGAGAACAACTGACTTGAAACAGGGTTGTATTGCAATAGGTTGTGCAAGTGCTAGGCTGTGCATTTAGCAAAGATGCATGGCCTTCCAACCTCAAAGACAGGCTAGTCGTTGCTGTCTACGCCCGAATAAGCCCGTAATGAAGGTTTCCAACAGTTGAGGGGTCTTCTTTTTCGAAGGTCTGTTTAGCTGAAGGGCCTCCATTAGGGGTCCCGTCCTCTTGGAAACTCCCACCTACAGCTGCGAGCTCAGCTTCGTGGGCAGTCACCTCGGTAAACCCTTGCCCTGGAGCTACTTGAGTTCGCAGCTCAACCCCAAGTGTTTCGCGCAGGTTCAGGAAACACTTGCTGAGGCAATTCCTCTGCGCGATGAACCGCGCAACCCTCGCGGAGGCTAAGAGGCAGGAGAACGGCAGTTCTTGCAACGTGGTCTGTCATCGGATAAGAACTCGGAATGAAGGTTTGAGAGATTACGATACTACAACTGACGGAATACAGATACAGACCACGTTGTGCGGACTGCCGTGCTTTCGAAGTGTTACGTTCCCGTTGCAGCTGCATCTCGTCGTTGATCCTCTCATGACACCCCCAACCCTGAGGCAGATTCGCCAGACCTCCACAGCTGTCATCACCAAGTATATCCCCGAAGACCACACGAGCATCCATCTCATAGGGGGCCAAGATACAAATATGGAAAAGGGTCCTTGTGCCTGTGCTTTCCTGCCCGCCATACCACAGGCCCTCATGTTTCAGATCCATTCGACACTTCCACCCAGAGGGCCGCAAGTAAGCCGTACATCATATCTGGCCTGCTAGTAAACGTATGGTTTCAGGAATATTGCAAAGTCGTTGTCTGGGTACACCGATGGATTCCATTCTGCAAAGCATCGTAGGTTCGAGTATACACAGGCCGAAAAGCTTGGAACGTGCAATAAATAAGGGGCCCTAGTGTTTCTAGAGGGTTTGAGGCAAGTTAGTTCCGCCGGGACCACATATTTTCCGAATGTTTCAGACTTCGACAGTCCGGGGCAGGAATGGTTTTTTTGTGCAGGGGACAGTTGTGAGACAACCGAGCAACACGGACATCTTCCCTACCCGGCCCTAACCTCTTGAATCCCTGAACCCCAAATCTGGAAAGGCCGAAGAGCCTCACAGGCTAAAGCCTGAAACACTAATCCCTTTCCGTGCAGAGTCCGAGTCGCGAGAGTCCAAACCCTTTCTGTATGCATTTGGGGGCCTCCCAGCTTTTTTACAGATTGGTCGCTTCGGTTGGGCGCACAGGTTTCCCAGCTTGGACATACTCACGTTCTGAAGTTTAGGGCTTCGGGTCTCGGGTGGTTCACGGGCTCAGGGATCTTCCCCTTCAAGCACCTGTCGACATCCCATGGAAGGAACAATGACTGTGTGCGTGGAAACTGGCAGACAGTGTTTGCCTGAGCTGAGGGTTGTTCAGCTTGCCTCCCATTCATGGTTCATCTCATCCCAAAGCTCTAGATCCAAATCCCTAAGCCCTTCTTGTTTTGCTTTGCTCATTCCTTTCGGGTTTCACTTCATCCGACCTACAAATACATGACTCGCCTGGACTTATCTGAGTTGTGAGTGCCGAAAGCTCGTTGAAGAGTTGAAAAATACGCCGTCGCAAGGCATCCGCCTGAAGCCTAAGCCGTCAACATGTCCAGCAAAGTTTGGTTTTGGCAAGGGGTTGCTGAGAGATTTCTTTTGCCACATCCCTAGGCTTTATAGTCCCAAGAGTCTGCTGACGTTTGTCAGGGGAATTTGGGAGAAGCGGTGGGCTTTTCGAGGTTTTGGGTTTGGGTGTTTACGGTTTGAGAGGGGCCTGGAGTTTAACGTCAGGCTCGGAATCCAACACCTCTTCAAAGTCTGAATCCGACCACTTAGCCCACGCGGTGCGAAACCGGAACCCGAAACCCCGAAACCTGCAATATGTGCGAACACGATCAAGCCCGCCTTTTTTAGGGGCATGAAGGCTAAACCCCGACCAAAAGCTGACGTGAGGGAGGGTTTTCCTAATCAATGGTTCCCAAAAAGGAAAAGGCCCTCCCAATTTCAAAGCACGTCTCTTCTTCATCATCATGGTGCCACGAGCCTCACACTCCAAAAGGCTCTGCCCGAATTGAAGCTTCAACCCGAAACCCTACACCATGAAGCCCACGACACGAGGTAATGATGCAATACCCCGAGATCGGGCTTTGGCGTGACCTCCGTGAGAAGATAAAGCGGGGTCCTCGAATGTTCGGGGGTGTTAAGGACGACGTCCAATGATTGGTCTCGAAGGCAGGGTGGGGGAACTGTTGGTTTCCACTGTTGAGTGCCCTTCACTTGCTACCCCGCGGTTGTGTGCTTTTACATGTTGGGTTTATGGCTTGGGGAGCCGGAGGTTTGGAGTGTAGGGAAACCAGGTTGTTTGAAGGCAGGCGGGCATTGACTGATTTGGGTATCCCCCTTATAGTCCGCATATGCTTATACGTACTACCATACATCCCAAACCACTATACACATTAAGGCTCATGCATGTTTAAAGGTTTTTTGTTCAAGTGACGTGGTTTTGCCAGGTCGTTAATTCCACAAATTTGCTGAGGGTAGGTTAAGGGTTTGGGGCCTCATCCTTAGACCCAAAACCCCAACTGAGCTCTGAGCCCCAAAATGCTCTTTAGGTTTTTCGTGCCAAAGATGGCCGCATGCACCCTACACCCCTGGAATCGCCAGCCCTTTCCTCGGCCCCAATCGCCGTCGTTTTTTCGCGGTAGCAGCAGCAAAGCAAGTTTTGAGGGCACTGGCCTTTGTCAGTGCAATGCAAAACCTATAGATGTTACAAAAACAGCACTACCCACACCAATAGAAGTTACAGTAGTATCAGTTGTTTGCAGCATCAACGCTGCCGACGTCAGCCTTCAACATACTGAATTAGAATCAACCCATATTCTGCGGCTGTGCCGAGGCTCCGCGTGTGGACGCCCGAAGCCAATGAGCCCGGCACGAAAACGCGGCGAGGTTTCCAGCTGCTTTGGGGATGGGGAACATGTTTCCGGAATTGCTTGAAAGCGATTGCAGCATGTGCAGCTGCCTTGGTTCTCGCTCCCAGCATAAGACACAGCTCAGGGAATCGCATTCGGCTCTATTGGGAAACTAACTCGCTTCGAGGGGCCTCTGGAAGCCCAGAAGCTCCAGTGGGCCCGGATGCCCAAACAGCAACCTACGAGAGTCGAGGGGTGCCTAAGAGCTAGGCGTGAACATCCTGGAATCGCGGAATGGCCGCGTTCGCCTCAAAGGAACTCTTGATTTAAGGACATGACGGGGGCTAAGGCTAAGTCTCTTCGGTCAGATTCTCGCATTAAGAACCCCAGAACTGTGGGAGGCAGCATGTGGGACGACGAGGTCCCGGATGGTCTCTTCAGGGAAGCCGTGCTTCTGCCTTGAGTTCGGATTAGCATTAAGGTGTGGGTTGCGGGTCCTGTTTCAATGTGTACATTGCTTCCTGGGTATTGTGCAAAATCGCTTTGTGCTGGGCACGCGCTGCACATACGATACAGTCGGGAAAGGCCGCATACAATGGACAAGGTTTACGGCTTATTTTGCCGGGTCTGTTCCTTTCGCCAACTTTCGCCCAACATTTGCAGGCATCTCCTTTTGCACTGCGGTTGATGTCCCCTAATTGCTGGTGGCCTGTCTTCACCACCAGATATGTCAACTGTTGAGCAGGCACGCGACCTCGGAAGACTTCCGGGAGCCCACGGCCCAAATGTAGCACGACAGCAGCCGCAGCTACAACATCGAAGTTTGGATGTATGCTGTAGGTCAGGGTCTTGGCTGGAGATGTGTCTGTACTGGGTGGACATACAAACATGCGTCCGGAACTGCTATGGCGACCCGAACCTTCCTGCCCAAAGAGTACAAAGTGAAGCCGTCCACTATTCACCAACGTCCCGAACCTCCAGGAGGGTAAGCGCACATCCACTTGGGCCACCTTGTGGCGAGATAGGACCTTCCTCTCAACGGGGGGTGTTCGGATATCTTCAATCTGGTAACCTAGTAGGCTTGTGGTGTGGACCTGCAGGGCTTTACGATTTCGGGCCTCGAGGTTCGGACCGGCCAACTACCCCTTCATTTCATCTTGACTTCCCACAGAAAAGGCCCGCAAGTGCTCTCTTGAAGCCGACTTCAGAGACCCTGAAAAGAGGCTTAAGGCGCCGAGGCCCTAAGCGGAACCCCCCCCAAGTCGGTAAGCTTCGTTTGGAGCTTGGCGCTAGCGCCGCGACTTTCGAGGCCCATGTGCCTAGGTCTTTCGACTCGTGTCCAGGGGGAATCATTGGGGTTTAGGGTTGTGGGAGTGGGGCATGAGACTTGTATAGTGGTACTAGTTGTAGGAATTGTGGGAATGTCAATATTCGCAAGAACAAGATACATTCCCCTTTCCGTTCTTGATTTGTCCCTCGGTGTTTGCATGAGAGAGAAGAGAGAGTGTCATGCGAAGATGTTTCTGTACCTCTGTTATGATGTCCGAAGCCTACAACATGAATCCTAAACCCGAAGCCTCCAACGAAGCTTCCAAGCCAAGCAGAAGCTTGTAGAGGGAGCCAAAAAAGGCGGGGTTCGGCGAATGGGGAAAGGTCAGATTCGGGGATTCCAATCCGAACAATCTCTTGCCCCTAAACCCAACAAACCCAATTTGGTATTCGAGAAGAACCTTAAAGCTTTCTGGGGGTCGTAGCTCACGAGGAGTTCATGACAATCAACATGTAGTTCCCAAAGGCAAGGCTTGCTCGCGGCCGCAAACCCCAAGCACGAGAATCCTCGAGCTCGAGCCGTTTGCTTGTCCCGAAGGATCCGAAATCCGAACCGCTAAAGCCCCGCCCTTAGGCCTAAGGCCGAAATTGAAGCCCGAAGCCGTAAAGCCCTGCAGTAAAGCCCGAAACCGAAGGATCCGAAACGTGCTCCCACGCGGTATCGATAGTTTCGTCGGAGCCGGTGACAAGGAGGCCCAGTGGGAGGGCGCTTCCTTTCTGGATGTGTGCATTTGATTGTTTTCCCCCGAGATCGGTTCCCGTTTAAAGTTATGGATCGCCAAAAGACTGCATCATTCTTTCGACCTATGCAGAACCTTACAATCCTAATAGCTTTTTGAGAAGCACCCGTGGTTTACGGTTAAGCTTGCTGTATGGGCTGCAGCGCACTTACGATTTCACATTCTGTGCCGATGGGTGTGATCCAAAGCGCTTGCTGCCCTCTTGGGGTGCGAGGCTTAGAAGTTCATGGCTATCCACTCCTATTAAACGAGGTGTCGTGAGTGGAACCTTCGTTGTTCGAAACAGCTCTTCTTTGGGCCTGCGGACTCTGCTTTGTCGATGGTAAAAAATTGGAACTCACCTCGGAACAAAGTCAGTTCTTGACCAGTTCACGAAGAACAAACACTCGACCTGACTCGAACTCGAACGGGATGTCGCAGATGTTCAACCTTTGCTCAGGCAATGTAGGATTAGTCATAGGTGATAGAGACATGTGTTCAGGAAGCCTTGCATATCGGGCTTAGGACATTACAAACACGTTTCCAAGCATTGCAGGTGCGGATGATGGCTGCGGCTCTTTGGAAGGACATCACAGAGTGGGCGTGCGCCTCATGTGACCCCAGCATGCCAAGCAGTTCGGGACTGCCTTGCAGAGCTTCCCTTACAGCAGCTTAGCAAGGATGTGAAATCTGCTCCATATCTGGTATCCTTGTTTCAGGCCTGGAGATACTAGTGAGGCGAGGCTATCAGTAGTATTCCTACGGCTACACCCCGTCATATTTTCAGGAATATGAAGTCCCCAATTACATCTCCGACTCTTGAGTCAAGTCTGAAACTGCAAGCCCTTCGGTCTGGTTGGGCTTGGGGGCATCATCCAGCTTGCTTCTGAACGTACAGACCTTGCTTCGTGCCTCTGCCGCTGCTTGCCTTCCGTGGCGGTTCGGCAACCAGGAGCAGAAGCGACATCGAGAGGTTTTAGGCAACCCCCGTCTTAGCCACGGCTGTGAAACCCAGAAGCCCTATCCGCACTATCATGCCGACCATCTGATACACGCCTGGCTTGCCTCAGAGCAAACCCCTACACCCAAGAGCCTAAACCTTAAGCCGGCCCTTTTCGACGAAGCGCTTGTCAAAAAACCATAAGGCCCCAAGCCCTACAGCGCCCAAGGCCCTACAGCGCCAAAAGCCGAACCCCAAAGCCACCTTGAAAAACGCAGCTTTTGTTTTGTGGAACTCTCAATTGGGTAATTAGTTCTCTCAAGTCGGGTCCCTTTTAAGGTCCCCAATATTGTACGGCACCCAAATGAAACGGGCTCTAAAAGGGACCCTACCTTAGAGAACTACCCTTATGGTACCCTTGCAAGAAACCCTACAGATCCCCCGGATTTCGAGAACTCCCAAATTTGTCGGAGCAACGAAGGCCAAAGGCGAAGGAGACTGCGCTCGCCACCTGAATCTCTTCACGGCGGACGCTCGGCTCTGGGCCGTGGATTTTTCGAAGGGTGTACCACATGGCCTTCGGATGAACTTTATAATCCTTGTACGTAGGTCTTGGATGGGCGTTTATCGGTTGCCAGAGTCTTTGTTTCAGGCAACGGTAGGTATTATGTCCTGTCACACAGCCTGTTGAGATAATCGCACGGGCTGCCCGGAAATGAACGTGCCAGGTTTGTATGCTTCGGGACCGGGCTGGAATGCTAAGGATCCTGCAACAGTGGCGGGGCCCCTGTTGTTATATGGCCTCATCTTAAGACATGCTAGGATGCCTTCACGGTGGTTTGTGTTTGTTTTCCATACGGTCTGGGAATCATGTTGTTCTGGACTGCACCAGCCGCCCCTGCCAAACGAGGAGCCCCCTGCGAACCCGGACGAGACGGCTGAGGCCCGAAAGTATAGGGTATTATGGGGTTGTGTTGTTCGGGCGAAAGGTCTGACGCGATTTACGAAATTTCTCGTGTGTTCTTTGTCAGCGTATTTTGGAATGAGGATCTGAGCATACACATACATGCATACATACATACATACATATATATATACATAGATAGATATATGTGCAGTCAAATGGGGTTTTGGAGAAGAACCCAGGATTCCATGCCAAACAGCCCAAAGCCTCAGCATTTCAGACCTCGACCTCGAGCGCTTGTGTCGTCTCACCATGAACGCGCTTGTGTCTTCGGCTGCCGCTCCAGACGGAATCTGTCATATGCAAGTCTGAAAGCTAGCAATAGCATCCCCTCATACATCACCAAAAACTTACCCCAAGCAACTGTTAGTTCATTCCCTCAGCATGAAGGTCCCGGTAGTGGATCTATGGCCCTTTAAGTCCCTTTAAGTAAGTACCAGGACCCTCCGCGCAAAACCCCAACTCCCCAAGCCCAAAAACATCGTATCCCTGGACCCCCAGCGAGCCCGATACCCTTTCATTAAGGAGTCTAGCTTAAACTAAACATGCCTCATAACATCGTTTAGGAGTATGGATGGTTCGATACAGGATTTTACTGTACTCATTTCTCGAAGTTGCAGCCTTTCAATTTTCCGGGTTCTGACTAGTGACAATCACTGAACGTCCAACGTTCTATTCCTTTGGATTAGAGAAGCGAACACACACACACACACCTACCACATCATCAAACACATTGTGTGAGTGACGACTCTTCTCCGTAACGTGCGGTTTCGAAATTACCAATGCCTTCACCTGTCAATATATGGTTCAGATTTTGTCATGCTTGCTACCCAACAGATACACGCGCGATCCTCGAATATAGACCGGTAAGTGGTAGGACTCGTAGTATTTGCACCCTGTAAAAAACGAGGCCTGGAAGGTAAGAAACCCCCACATGGTTCCTCACATTCCCCAGTTTTACTCCCAGCGAGCCGTGTGCAGTTCAGGATTCTCATTGTAGTCGGGGGGCTTCGAAGAGAAGTTGTCAGGGAGATCGAGATCAATCGGTGTTTCCAGTCGGCTTTTGATTAGGGCTTGCTTGGGGAGCTGGTCTGCCTGGCTGTCGTGCGGGGCGACGCCCAAATGCCACGTGTTCGCCGAGTCTCGGGCCAAGAGGTGCCTATTCCTGCTGACGAGGTCGATGATGTGCGGACCCTAAAGCGACGCCTTCAATCCTGGTGTGGGGCGCCACGATTCCGACAAAGGCTCCTTCGTCAAGGTTGCATTTTGGAGGATGATGCTGCTGTCACGGATGTGGAACTCCAGAGCAGGAGTTTGAGCTCGTCGACGCTGCTGACCTTGGCCTTGTGGCATCAGTTGAGGCGATTCTTCAACGACCACAACATCCAGACATATTCAGTGAGCGCCCAGACCGGTTAAATCCGACAGCTCTCGGGACGGCATCCGACAGGGGCCATACAGAAATTGTTGCTTTGCTGCTGGAGGCATGTGCGGATGCAGATCTCTATGCTCTCGGCATGGGCCCGGGGTATTCAGGCACCGCACTCACCATTGCTGCCAGCAGAGGGCATGTTGAAGTTGTACACCTTTTATTGGAGGCCGGAGCAAATCAGGAGACCATCGGCAACATTTACAATGACGAGGTAACACCTCTTCTTGCAGCGATCAATGCACACTCCGCGTGGAGCGCGGATCGAGGTCCCACAGATCGCCACATGGAAACTGTACAGCTCTTGCTGCAAGCTCATGCTGATCTTGACTGTCGGGGACGAACGGCGTCCCACTTGGAGTATGAGCATGATGCGAGGCCTTTGGTTGCAGCATGTCAACGTGGACATGTGGAGGCGGCACGTTTGTTGCTCGAGCACGGCTTTGTCGACAGTGCCGCAACTCCAAGACCTGCTGCGTCAGCGATCCCGCACTTTGCTCCAGCGCTTGTCGCGGCATCTTCCAGCGGCCATGTAGAAGTTATAAGGCTGATGTTGGAGGCTGCCGGGCTTGGTAGCGGTGAGGCTATGCCGACAAAAAATCAAAAGTATAGCGGTGACACGCCTCTTTCGGCCGCATCGGCATGTGGGAATTGTGCGCATGCTGTTGGAGGCACGTGCCAAAGACGAAAAACCGAACGCTCTGGCGCAACAGCTCTTTGCCTGGCTGCCGGCGAGGGGCATGTCGAAATCGTCCGTTTGCTATTAGAAGCTGAACGGGTCCATTCGGGTTAGTCCAGGTTGTGAAAGTGTCATTGCAAACTGCCGCAGAGCTGGGTCGATGACTGGAAAATAGGCGTGCTGTGGCTTTTGGTTTTGTGCCAAGACGAAGATCCCTAGAAAACCATAGAAGCAAGCCCCGGTCTTGTTGGATTTAAGTACTTGCAGCTTCTTTGCAGGTGTCGCCAAACGATTCATGCGCGAGTTTTATTTCAATAATAGTTGGTAATACGTATTTCTGGTTATGCTCATCATCGTCACAGAAAGCCTAGTCAGCGTCATGGTACAGCGTATGCAACAGGATGCCACAAGGGCCTTGGATGGCTTGAGTTTGCATCCAAGCTTTGAGGGTCAGGGTCTTCTTCTGTCTTCTTCTAGGACAATCAGATGTAGAGGGGACATTCGAGAAGAAGGCAACCAAACTCTCCGGCAACTCCTCAGCGATTTTTCATTCTCTGTAACCCCAAACTCAGAAGCTCTCAGCCGCAAGACTTGCGATGCCATCGATGACGAGAACCGTAGTCCAAACAACGAAAGCAGGCACCGGAGGAGTGGGCCTTCGTTCCGGCCGCCGACATCTTCCTCGTTGTTGGCGAGGTCGGTTTTTGACTGTTGCTACCCAAAGGTGAAAAGAAGGGTTATACGATCAGAATGAGGAGGTTTACCATCAAGGTCAAGGTTCTTGAGGCTTTTTAGATCTAGGCTTTATAGGGTATGTAAACCGTTTCTGAGCTGAGTTTAAGAAGGATTAGTGGAGGAGTTCTTGCTCGAAGCGCTTCTCCGGTTTATGAAAATTTCTGTGCCTTTCAATTCTAACACCTCCTTCGGCCTTTCAGCGAGGATTCCATTCCGAAGGGTTCAGGGCTCGGATTTGTGGCGGCTTAGCTACTACTGCCTTAGGATGGTTTGGGGCTCACGGTTTAGAGTTGGATTGTCTCCGGTTCAGGACCAGGGCCGCCTCGGTGTGTAATGTTTCAGTTTCTTGGGGTTCAGGTGTTTGTCCCTGGGGGGCTCAGGGGTGCATGGTGAGGATGTACGGTCTGCGTTAAAGAAGGGACCTGGATGGGTCTGCAGTCGATCTACCTTTAAGATCCCGTGCTGGTTTCTGGTACCAATAACGGTTCACTGTTTGGGAGACGGGGGAGATCGTGGAGGGAAGTACTGGTTGCGGCCACATGGGTGTCGGGGTGTGAGGGTTATCCCAAAGACTCCATTACCACGGATCTTGCAGCAAGCCATGTTGGCAGAGCTTCGGAGTGGTTTCAGAGGCAAGGGACTGCGGTTCGGGGTTCGAGATTCCAAACTCAGGAATGGGCAAGGGTTCAAAGTGGATACATTGCGGTCTTGGGGGTTCAGGGTTCGGGGAGTTTGCCCGAAGGAGTTACCGGTCTAGGGCTTTAAGGTTCGGGTGAAGAGCTTCTGGCCGCATGCTGACATGAGACAGGAATAATGTCCTCGATCCCACTAAAACACCGATGTGTGCCGAATCCTGCCTTGCTTATGCTGAACCCCCCAAACTGGAAAGCTGAGGATCCTTCTGTCTGTGTGTGCTCTGGGGTCCCGCAACTAGCTGCTAGCAATTGGGGTTTAGAGAAGAGTGTAGAGTTGTGAACCGCGAACTTCATACAAACTCCAGAATCCTCCAGAAGACCTTCACTTCTGATTGCCCTGAGCAGCAAACGATACATTCTCGGAAAGATGCCGCTTGCCCCACGGACAAACTCCGACGTCCCGATGGTTCTCCGAAGACGAAATTCACGAAGCCCTAGAAAACAAGCTTTTGCCCTCCGAGGGCATCGTCGGTATCACCGCAGAGGGCCTAGGTGCCGCAGATGCCAAGCCCGGCCACGACAGGTGTGGGTTCCGAGTGCCGTGTTTACTTGTCTGCGTCGTTTTGTTTTGCGGATAAGTAAGGGCTGATCGTGTTTTTTTTAAACGTTGATCGCGGATTTGTGATATGGAAAGGCTTGCAGTAGCGGTTCGAAAGGCATTGATACACAAGTGGTTGAAGGCTTTGGGATTGAGGGATGGCTTTTCCGAGTTCGATCTAGAGTTTGTTATAAAAGGCTATACGCTTGCCATAGGGCCTGTAGGCTGTTCGTCGGCACTTGGGCGCAGGTTTTTTTGGGGCTCCGGCGGTTTTGGGAGAGGATCACAGCAGCTTTGCATGGGCTTGCTCCTAGTTTCATGAGGGTTCACAAGGCTGCTGCAGCCCAACATCCTACCCTCGAAATTCTTCCACGAGGGCATTGAGACAAGAAGTGCGCCGTGTTTTGCAGATGTTCTTCTTCCTTCGGAGAAGAGGGCTTACAGACTCGGCTGTCAGGGTTTACGGGTTGAGGCGCTGAGAGTGAGTGGAGACTCTGCAGATGCAGAAGCTAGGAAGGAAAGTGTTTCGGAGAGTTTTGCCAATTTTGCGCCGAAGGCGGGCCCGATCGATAGATGTCGTCCCTCATTGATCATACGGATCGACATTTACAGTATAAGGGGATCCGGGCGAGTGTGGACAATGTAGAGGTCGGAATAACTACAAACATTACTGCCAAGGTTTCCCGTTATAACTGTATTATTAAAAGCTCCTAAACTAGAACCCTGTTTGTGCCAAGCTCTTCTTTTTATATTTTACGGATCCATTGAAGGACACCTTAGGAGCCGACAAGCCCCCTTCTAGTTACGAAGGCCCCTAGTAGAGTAGAGTATGGAAGCGGGAGCCTGGAGGCCAGAGGCCGGAGTTGCGGCTGCCGAGTAATCGACGAGCAACAACAAGAAGCATAGTAAGAACTCGATCAGCCATTAACCTATGGATAATGAGACAAGCAGTGGGTAGTAAGAATTAGTAGCTATTAATACTCGTGGTTGTAATAACACTCATGGCAATTTGCATGTAACTCAGCAGGGTCTTAGGGCTCAAAAAGGGTTAATCATAATTTGTAGTCTAGAAGCAGCTGTCGCAAGAGCATGAACACTAAGGCGAGTGCGCAAGAGAGTTGCCTATTTTGCCTGAAGGAACATGCACGCCTGGTGTTAGAAAGCAGACTAGTTCATGGAAGCCGCCTTCAACCTCACCGGTGCTTTTGAGACTTACCTGGGACCTGGGAGGTCCGCGGACCCGACTCGGAAAAAAGTCTGACAAAAGCCTTGGGCTCCAAAGGTCAAAACTGATGCCCGGCTTGCACCCGTTAGATCTGCCACCTATACCTACCACCCCCGAGGTACTAGGACGAAAGTTCTTGACTTTTTAAAGCCGCTCTTTTCGTGCAGGATGACTTTCTCGGAGGCCATGCAAGACAAGAAGCAAAAGTCCAAGGCAAAACCGATTGGAATTCAGGGTCAAACTTCAGACTGGAAAGGAAGGTCGAGAATCAAGGAGTAGATAGGATTTCCTCGCATACATATGCCCTAGCTGCACTTCACTGAGCACCAGCATGTACATGCCGCAAGCTTTGGATATCCGGTGTGTTCTTCCACGATGGCCGCAACCTCAACCCTGGGTGGAACCATATTCCACGTTTTAAGGCCCGTACAATATTCTGAATGCCGGCGTTGCGTGCCAAAGATCGCTTTAAAGGTTCACGGGTGTTGCAACCCAGGTCAAGGTTGCGGTTCTGGTCGTCGACTTCGTCGAAACAGTGGTACAAAACTAGTATTGGTAGTGGTAGTCGTAGTTGTAGTTGTAG